AAAGAAGCAACGCGCCTATATCAGTATCGCAATAGGTCTTATAGAGCATGCGGAAGGTCGAGGGTCACCCGAAGGTCAACAGTCGAAGACAGTCAACGGTCGTGACCCTTGACTGCCCAGTAACGGCACTTGTTAGTTACGCGATGCAACATGGTAACTGTCAAGAATAGCAATAGTCGTGGTTACTGTAGCAATGCAATTCAGTTAATAAGAGAATGTACCCCTCAAAGTACATGGCTAGCTAGGATTGCTATTTATATCCTTGTACTCCTATCTTATAATCATCTTGTTCTCTTTCAACTTTATTAACAAGGTCATTATAGAGACTTCATTGTCTTCTTTCAAACTTGACAGACTTATCCTATCCACTACGATCCTTCAGTTACAACAAGATGGTATGAGAGCTAGAGAGGATTGTAAGGCCTGTTAAGCTCTTGTTCTTTCTAGAACAACCTCTTTATAAATTACTCGTTAAACCATTACAAACTCTGCATCACTATGGCTCCCGAAGGAAAAGCCACTGCAGATTCTCCGGGCCCACCACCAGCAACACCTACTGCACCATCAGTGGTGACCTCCGTCAGCGCCGCTCTCGTCGAGCAGCTGGACGCTCGCATCAACGCTCTTGAGAGCCATCAAGCTATAAGCATCGATGGCTCAAGCTACCCACGTGGAGTTGCTGGACTCCCTCTCCCTGGAGAAGACCACCGCGTCAACTCCGACAGGTCATTTACCTTTGACAACCATCAAGCTCCAGCACCAGCAGCACCTCCACCAGCAGCAGCAGTAGCACGAGTAGCAGCAGCAGCAGCAGGGCGGCTCAGTGGGGCTGGGCGGCCGCACCTCCAGCACTCCCAGCAGCACCTCCACCAGCAGCAGCAGTAGCACTAGTCGCAGCAGCAGCAATAGTTTTTTTTTTTTAACTATTATTATTATTTAGGGTTTAGGATTGCGCGCGGCCGGGGCTGCAGGGGCGACGCGCGGCTCGGCAGGGCGGCGCGCAGGCTGCAGGGGCGACGCCCACAGGCTGCAGGGGCGACGCCCACAGGCTGTAGGGGCGACGCGCAGCTCGGCAGGGCGGCACGCGGGCTGTAGGGGTGGCGCGCGGCTCAGCAGGGCGGCGCCCAGGCTGCAAGGGCGACGCTCTGCTCGGCAGGGCGGTGCGCGGGCTGCAGGGGCAGCGCCCACGGGCTGCAGGGGCGACGTGCGGCTCTGCAGGGCGGCGTACGGGCTGCAGGGGCGACGCGCGGCTTTGCAGGGCGGCGTACGGGCTGCAGGGGCATGTCAGAATAGTAGCTAGAACAAGGAGCCATAGCAAGCTAGGCAAGAAAGAATAAGCAAAGGAGAGTTTGACTAGAAAGGAGGGAGGTACAAATAGCAAGCCCTAACAGGGTTATACTCACTATTGAGTACCCCACTACAGACTAGACAAGCATTATATTCTAACACACCCCCATAGTCAAAGTGGGGTATAATCAGCATAGCAAGCAGTCACAGAGCGGGTTCACAAGGACAAGTAAAGCTAGAGGCAGTCGCAGAGGGCAAGTGAGGAGGAGGAGTGACTGTGGGAGGAGAGGAGATGGGAGGCGACGGCGGAAGCTGCAGACACACGGCGCAACTGGAGCAACTGGCACACGAGCAACTGGAGCAACTGGCACACTGGCAACTAGAGTAACTGGCTCCACGGCTAGACGAGCGGCAGGAGCAACTGACCCACAGGCGACTGGAGCAACGGGCTTACGGGCGACTGGAGCGACGGGCTCACGGGCGACTGGCGCAACGGTCTCACGGGCGATTGGAGCTGCTGGCTTCATGGCGGCCACCTCCACTCAACCTCCCCCACCTGTCCCACACCCCTTTCACACCCCCTGCTGCACTCCTAGTTTCACTCCCACGACACCCCCTTAGCACCACTCCTTCGGCTCCCACACACCCACACCCCTCAGCGGCAGCTGCAGCAGTGGGAGACAGAGGAGGAGGAGGAGCAGGGGATGGCGCACACACCCGTCACCCCCATACCCGCCACCCCCACACTCGCCACCCCAAAACCCTAAAACGGGCAGCACGGGGCAGGAGCGCGGGCAGCAGCGCGGGGGGCGGCGCGCGGATCCCCCGGGGCGCCACGACGGGCGACGGTAGGGGCGGACGCGCGGGCCCCCGGGGCGCCACGACGGGCGACGGGAGGGGGGCTGCGCGCGGGCCCCCAGGGCGCCGCGACGGGCGACGGGAGGGGGCCGCGCGCGGGCCCCCAGGGCGCCGCGACGGGGCGACGGGAGGGGAAAGCGCGCGGGCCCCCGAGGCGCCACGACGGGCGACGGGAGGGGGCCACGCGCGGGCCCCCAGGGCGCCGCGACGGGGCGACGGGAGGGGAAGGCGCGCGGGCCCCCGAGGCGCCACGACGGGCGACGGAAGGGGGCCGCGCGCGGGCCCCCAGGGCGCCGCGACGGGGCGACGAGAGGGGGTGGCGCGCGGGCCCCCGAGGGCGCCACGACGGGCGACGGGAGGGGGTGGCGCGCGGGCCTCCGGGGCGCCGCGACGGAGCGGAAAACCGCCATGCGCCCCGAGCGCGCGGCGGGCAGAAAACCGCCACGCGCCCCGAGCGCGTGGCAGGAAGAAAAAATCGTCGCGCGCCACAGGGCGCGCGACAGATAGTACAGTAGTGGCAGCGGAAGCAAACGGTGGGCCCACAGGCCAGGAGCGTAATCACTCTGTTACCATGTCATAATGGCGGTTAGAACGCAGGAGCCATAGTTAGCAAGCTAGGCAAGAGAGAATAAGCAAAGGAGAGTTTGACTAGAAAGGAGGGAGGTACAAATAGCAAGCCCCAACAGGGTCATACTCACTATTGAGTACCCCACTATAGACTAGACAAGCATTAGATTCTGACAGGGCAGCGCCCACGGTCTGCAGGGGCAAGGCGCGGCTTGGCAGGGCGGCGCGCGGGCTGCAGGGGCAGCGCCCACAGGCTACAGGGGCGACCCGCGGCTCTGCAGGGCGGCGTACGGGCTGCAGTGGCGACGCGCGGCTCTGCAGGGCGGCGTACGGGCTGCAGGGGCAGCGCCCACAGGCTGCAGGGGCAGCGCCCATGGGCTGCAGGGGCGACGCGCGGATCGGCAGGGCGGCGCGCGGGCTGCAGAGGCAGCGCCCACGGGCTGCAGGGGCGAACTAGCGGGCTGCAGGGGCAGCACGCGGGCCACAGGGGCAGGCACGGCTGCAGGGGCAGCACGGTCGCAGGGGCAGGCACGGCTGCAGGGGCAGCACGGTCGCAAGGGCAGGCACGGCTGCAGGGGCTGCACGGTCGCAGGGGCGAGTACGGCTGCAGGGGCAGCACGGTCGCAGGGACGAGCACGGCTGCAGGGGCAGCACGGTCGCAGGGGCGAGCAAGGCTGCAGGGGCGGCGCGGTCGCAGGGGCAGCACGCGGGCTGCAAGGGCAGCGCGGCTGCAGGGGCGGAACGTTCGGTGGGCCCTAGGAACGATTCTGCTCTAATACCATGTTAGAGTAAGCAGGCAGGAATTGTGGACTAGGTAGCATGCATGAGTACAAGTACCTAACCCTAAAATGTTGCACCCCTTGTAGGCTAACCCACTATAGCCTAGAGATAAGACAAACATACAGTTTGACAGTTTCTACTCCAACTCCGACCTGTACACACGTTCACCCAGACATCGCGCCAGCGAATCAACCTGGCATGCAAGGATGGGACACCCAAGTAACACAACGTTAACCGCGAACCGGACGAAGCACATCGCCCTACGATTTTTCTTCGTGAACGACGAGATCGAGAAGGGGAGACGAGAGCTATCCTATTGCCCCACGTCCGAGATGGCAGCCGATTATTTGACAAAGAAGCTCGGAAAACAGAACTTCGAGTACTGCATGCTGCTGACTGGACAAGGCCACGTCACCTGTGGCGACACTCCAGAAGCGAAGGGGAGTGTTGGAAACAAGCAATTAACGCTTCTTATGTGTCGTAACATCAGACTGTAAACGAGGCGAACTATAGCGCAGCAATGGCGAGTCAACTGAGGAGGTTGACAGAAAAGTAATAGCCGGAGGTTACGCGAAGGTCAAAGGTCAGCGACCTTTGACTCGACAAATACAGCGCGACAGCAAGGACAAACAACTGACTCGGTATTGAGCAGTTGCCCGAGTCGTTACTGTATCGAACCGCAACAGCAACAGTAAAACAGTTATTGCACCATTTCATATTCCTTGTAATCTTATAAAAGCTTGTATTACTTCTTTATAATCAATCTATCTTGCCCTCATACACCAGCACAAGGAGGTTCAACAGTTTATCATTAAACGCTTCCGCAATACAACATTCCTGACAGAGTCTTAGCCTTGAAAGATCCTAAGGGCTTTTCTCAGCCCAACAACCACTAGGCCATGATAAGTTGTTCTTATGAGGAGAAAGAATGATTTTTAGAATCACATCCATCAGTTGCTCTCAGGGCGGCCACCACTGGGCAACCGCTGGGCCATGTTCTGTACTTCCGAGGCCCAAGAATAGCATCAGGAATCAGATCCATGCCATGCCATGCAATCAGTTGTTCTCAGGGCGACCACTGGCCCACGTGGTATCCTTATGCGGCGCCAGGATAGCTTCCACTTCTTTCAGCATCGCCTCGTCAATGCCTCGCTCTGTTGCTTCAATCATGCCATGCAATCAGTTGTTCTCAGGGCGACCACTGGCCCACGTGGTGTGCTTATGCCGCGCCAGAATGGCCTCCACTTCTTTCAACAACGTCTCGTCAATGCCTCGCTCTGCTGCTTGCACCAAATACACAACCAATGTGGTGTAATCATTTGTTCTCAGGGAGACCACTGGGCCATGTAGTGTCCTTATGTGGCGCCAAAATTCCTTCCACTTCTTTCAGCATCGCCTCGTCGATCCCTCTCTCTGCTGCCTCGATCACAGCAGCCACATTCTCCCGCACCTGCACACACGGGGAGCGGGAGAGGAGTGTGGAGCTGGTATTAGACTTTATATAAACACTACACATGCTGAGCTCCTTCCACCTCTTTCAACATCGTCTCGTCTATGCCTCGCTCTGTTGCCTCGATCACCGCTGCCGCATTCTCCCGCACCTGCACAGAGAGGGAGAGGAAGGGGCGGATTTTCATGTTAGGCAGCAGATGTTCCACCTCTTTCAACATCGCCTAGTCAATGCTTCACGATGCTGCTTAGATCACCTCTGCCACACTCTCGCACCTGCACACACCGCGAGAAAAAGGGGCACTTCTCATATTATATTAGACTCCACACAAATACCTTCCACCTGCTTCAGCAATTTCTCATTGATACCCCGATGAATGCCAGTCCATAGTAGACTGAAACCCCCATGATCTACTACCTGCTTCAATCAGACCGCAAGTGTCGTGGCGATGGCTGACTGTGTTCCGTGTTGCAGACTGACAAACCAGTCGGGCAGTCAGCCGCCGCACCATTACTACTCACCCAACAATCTTCATGAATGTTTCTCCCCCCACCTGCTTCTATGCACACACGCAGTTGCCACTCTGCTCACACAATGGGCCCTCACCTGCTGCACCGTGCACATGCCCACAAGCGTGGTCGTGATGGCTGGGTTGAGCGTTGCAAACTGGAGCGCCAGCCGGGGCAAAGACGCTCCCCGCTGCTGACAGGCAAGCGCTGCTGCCTTGCACGCATCCTGATGGTTAGTGGAGGAACAGAGGGAAAGATGAGTTCAGATAGGTTGAGAGAGGTGCAAACTGGGGGGCCAGCCGGGGCAAAGACGCTCCCTGCTGCTGACAGGGGAGTGCTGCTGCCTTGCACGCATCCTGATGGTTAGCAGAGGAACAGAGGGAAAGATGAGTTCAGATAGGTTGAGAGAGGTGCAAACTGGGGGGCCAGCCGGGGCAAAGACGCTCCCTGCTGCTGACAGGGGAGTGCTGCTGCCTTGCACGCATCCTGATGGTTAGCAGAGGGCATGACAGCAGCAAGTGGGAAACGACTAGAGTTGATGGTTGGGATGAGAGCGCTGCACACTCGAGGGCTTTCCTCGCTGCTGGCAGGCGAGAGCTGCTGCCTTGCATGCATCCTGAAACGTGAAAGCAGACAGAGGGACAAGTGCGTGGGGCAAGACAGGAGGGTATGATGCCTGGGTTAATCGTTGCAAACTGGAGAGCCAGTCGGGGCAGAGACGCACCCCGCTGCTGACAGGCAAGAGCCGCTGCCTTGCATGCATCCTGATGGTGACGGGAGGGAAAGATAGGTCCAGATAGGTTGAGAGCGGTGGAAAGTGGAGGCCAGAAGTGATGCTCCCCGCTGCTGACAGGCGAGAGCCGCTGCCTTGCATGCATCCTGATGGTTAGAGGCACGGCAAGAAAAGAGGCATTGGGTACGGCGTGAGAGAGCTGGTTTCAGCGGTGCAAGCTGGAGGGCCAGTCGGGGCAAAGAGGCTCCCTGCTCGCTCCTGACAGGCGAGTGCCGCTGCCTTGCATGCATCGTGATGGTTAGCAGAGGAACAGAGGGAAAGATGAGTTCAGATAGGTTGAGAGAGGTGCAAACTGGGGGGCCAGCCGGGGCAAAGACGCTCCCCGCTGCTGACAGGCGAGTGCCGCTGCCTTGCATGCATCGTGAAACGTGAAAGGCAGACAGAGGGACAAGTGCGTGGGGCAAGACAGGAGGGTATGATGGCAGGTGGGAAAGATGGGCCTGATGGGGCAAGGAAGACCCACGTTGCTGACAGGCAAGAGCCGCCGCCTTGCATGCATCCTGCTGGTGAGCAGAGGAACAGAGGGAGAGATGGGTTCAGATAGGTTGAGGAGCGATGCACCTTGTTGCTGACAGGCGAGAGCTGCTGCCTTGCATGCATCCTGCTGCTACAACCATCGCAACAACGGCTCAAACGATGGCTGTCACAGATGCGTAGTGGCAGTAGGTGGGAGAGGGATGGGCCCGGACACACCAACTCACCTTGAGGGGCTGGGGGGCGGGGTGCCAGGAAGGAGGTCCCTGGGGGGTGAGCAGACCCATGGAGAGGGGAGACGCGCTCACCACCCCCACGCCCTGCTGCTGCAGCCATGGCAGCAGCGGCGGAGAGTCGTGTCGTTGAGTGAGTAGTGGCAGTAGGAGAGAATGAGGGATGGGCTCAGGCAAAAGAGATATACACACCTTCAGTTCCTGGGGCGCAGGGTGCCAGGAAGGGGGTCCCTGGGGAGTGAGGAGGCCCATTGAAAAGGGAGACGCGCTGATTACCCCCACGCCCTGCTGCTGCAGCCACGGCAGCAGCGGCTGGAGAGTCGTGTCGTTGAGAGAGTAGTGGCAGTAGGAGAGGATGAGATCGAGAGCGCCGGGAGGCAGGCGGGGGAGAACGGATTGGTAGACGGAGAGAGGGAGGCCTGTGATGCCGATGAATCGGATCTTGCCGGCCGCTTTCAGCTCCTGGAGGGCAGGGATTGTCTCATTCACGATCTGGGGGCGGGGAAAGGGGGAGGAGGAACGGGAAGGAGGGGAAAGGGGGGTAAAAGGGGGGAATAAGGGGAGGGGGTTTGATGGCATGTGTTGAGAGGGACAGATGAACGGGGAATGAGGGAGGAGTGAGAAGGGAAATTTCATTGCTGTTGAGGTGCCTCTTACCTGATCCAAGGATCCAAGCTCGATGTCGTGGCAGTTGAAATCAGGTGGTTTCGATCCGCTGCAAGCCTTCTAAGAGATTAGGAACGATCTAAGTCTATCAGTACTAATCTGAAAAAGAGGGAAGTCGTAAGAAAAGTCTTTTAGTCAGAACGCCAGACACAATGGGCCCGGATGTTCGCGTGCAAACTCGATGTCGTGGCACTCACAATGTCCAGGTAAGGCGTCTGCAGGCTGATGCAACTCCCATCTTAAAGCACCTGTTCTTGCTCGCACCTGATCCAGACTCCCGAACTCGATGTCGTGGCACTCACAATGTCCAGGTAAGGCGTCAGCAGCTTGGCACAGCGTCTCCTCCAAAACCACCTCTGCCTTTTGCCCACCTGCCTGCCCCTCTCTCACCTGATCCAGACTCCCGAACTCAAAGTCGTGGCACTGGACGATGTCCAAATAAGGCGTCTGCAGCCTTGCACCTTGGTGGCAAGGCAACCACACTTACAGCTCAGACAAACGAGCCTTCCTCTTCCCTCTCACCTGATCCAGAGACCCGAACTCAATGTCATGGCACTGCACGATGTCCAAATAAGGCGTCTGCAGCCTGGCACAGCTCTCCTCCTAAACCACCTCTTTCCTCTCTCACATGTGCTTTTCTCTCACCTGATCCAGACTCCCACACTCAATGTCATGGCACTGCACGATGTCCAAATAAGGCGTCTGTAGCCGGGAGCTCTCCTCCACACTCCTCTTGATCCGACCCGCACTCAAGTCAAACCCCTCAGGGCCGTACCGCCCACCCCACCTTTGTAGCGACTTCTCTCACCGCGTGTAGTAAGTCGATTCTTGAGTCGACTCAAAAGTCAAACCCCTCAGGGCCGTACCCGCACCAGCCCACCTTTGTAGCGACTTCTCTCACTCACCTGATCCAGACGCCCGAATTCAATGTTGTGGCACTGCACGATATCCAGGTAAGGCGTCTGTCTGCAGCCTCTGGCACAGTTCTCGCCCTAAAACACCTCTGACTCTCCCTCACCTGATCTAGACTCCTGAATTCAATATCATGGCACTGCACGATGTCCAGGTAAGGCGTCTGCAGCCGGGCACCTTGGTGGCAAGGCAACCACACCAACAGCTCAGACAAACGAGCCTTCCTCTTCCCGCTTACCTGATCCAGACTCCCGAATTCAGTGGCATGGCATTGCACGATACTTCAGAAAGGCATCTGCTGGGACGCAGCTCTGGGCATGGTGTCAAGGCAAAAACAAAACTCAAGTCAAACTCCTCTGGGACGCTGGTTGCAAGACAACTGCTCTCACCTGATCCAGACTCCCGAATTCAATGTCATGGCACTGCACGATGTCCAGGTAAGGAGTCTGCAGCCTGGCATACATCTCCTCTCCTCCTAATCCACCTGTCCCTCTCTCTTTTGACTTACTCTCTCACCTGATCCAGACTCCCGAACTCGATGTCGTGGCACTGAACAATATCCAGGTAAGGAGTCTGCAAACGTTGACAACTCTCCTCCACGCTCCTCCCGATCCGCTCCGCACTGAAGTCGAACTCGTCCTGCCCGTACCTCCCCACCTTGGTGTCTTGAACCTCTCTTACCTGATCCAAGGACCCGAACTCAATATCGTGGCACTGCACGATATCCAGATACGGTGTCTGCAGCCGCGCACAGCTCTCCTCCACACTCCTCCTGATCCGCTCCGCACTGAAGTCGAATTCGCCCTGCCCGTACCGCCCCACTTTAGTAGCAACCACCACGTCCTCCCGCGGGCACGGTAGGGTGGCAATGGCCCTACCAAGCACCGTCTCGGCTCTTGTGGAGCCATAGAACCTGCAGGAAGAGAGCAGAGGGTGGAGGGACGCACTGAAGTCTGACTCCTCTGGGCCATACTGCCCCACCTTGGTGGCAACCACCACTTCCTCCCGCGCTGAAACAGCAGCATGGCAATGGCCCGCCCCAGCACTGTTTCAGCGCGGGTGGAGCTGTTGAATCTGGAGGCAGAGAGCGGAGGGAGGGGACCATGGGAAGGGGATCTCCTTAGAGCCGTACCGCCCCACCTTCGTGGCAACCACCACTTCTTCTCGCGAGCATGGCAGCATGGCGATGGCTCGCCCTAGCACTGTCTCCGCTCGTGTGGAGCCATAGAACCTGCAGGCAGAGAGCAGAGGAAAGCACTGAAGTCGAATTCGTCCTGCCCGTACCGCCCCACCTTGGTGGCGATCACAACGTCTCCCCGCGGGCACGGCAGCGTGGCAATGGCCCGGCCAAGAACTGTCTTGGCCCGGGTTGAGCCGTAGAAATTGGTGAATGGAGAGGTGAGATTGATTCCGGGTTTCACCGCCTCGTGCACGGCTCGCACGCCCTCCTCCTCGTCGATCTCCTCGAACACGCTCCCCAATGGGAACTGGTCGAAGGAGAGACCAACGCAAAAACATGTTCAGGGCGACGCTCGACTACGAGGCTAAAAGCACGTACGGCGAGACGTCGAAGAGGTTGATTCCGAGCTTGACCGCCTCGTGCACGGCGCGCACGCCCTCCTCCTCGTCAATCTCCTCGAACACGCTCCCCAATGGCGACGCGCCGAAGCTCACGATCGACAGGTCCAGACCCGTGCGACCGAGCGGGCGACGCGGCAACGACATCGCGGTCGCCGTCGCAGCGTCGCACACGGTCGCAGCGTCAGACGCGGTTGAATGAGCAGGGGGGATTCGAGCGCGAAGGACGGGGGAGGATGTCTTTCGAGTCGAGTCGCAGGTGACAACGGTTGGATGAGCAGGGTTTCGAGCGCAAAGGCCGGGATATGAAGGAGTTATAGGGGATGCAGAAACAGCGAGGAAGGCGTGGCGGCAGCACGTCGTGAGAGACCAGCCACGAGCAGAGCTGAGGAGGGGTACTCGACGAAACGCTAGGAACATGATCAGCGACTGCTGCTGTCTGTCATTATTTGCTAGGACTGGGTTGGGCTAGAGGGCCTCGCGAGAAAAGCAGATCAATTGACGGTAACTGGGCAACGAAAGAGGCCCTGACCCAGGCGAACAAGCGACATTTTTTAACCAGTGAGCAGGAAATGAGCTGTGGCGGAGCTGGTCGCAAACACGCTCTGCTCGTGGATTCGCTGGGCGATTGGTAACGTAACGAAACAATAGTCGTGCAATCCCCGTTCGCAGCTGCTTTCGTCACGTCGCCAAATCCGGAACTCCATTCCTTCAGCGCCTGGCTGATCAGATTCAGATCATCCGAGCCGTGAAGGAGCTCAAATAGAGTGTTCACGTATTCGTTCAAATATTCAGATAAATAACACAGAAGGGATAGGCACAGATAAACCGGCGAGCGCAGCCATTTCTCTCGACCTGGTCACCTGCTGGGCTCTTGTTTCAACCCGCCGCCGCTGGTCATCGTCCCGAGCCGTGCATTTTAGGGACATCCTTCCGTTTTCCAATCTGGCATGTGTGGGCCCTATCGCACGATCACAATAGAGTAGCACAGGATCGCCAATAACTTAGCCGCCATTGTTCCGAAACCTAATAGTTTCTCGAACCAGCTGAATCTGGGTCGCTTTTGAGCATTCTCAAAAGCAACCCATGATAAACTGTCTGGTTCTGCTAACTGCGGTTTGAGACCTTTTACAGCCTATCAATGGTTTTGCGTAAGAGCCATTGACCCGCGTTTTGTTGTAGAAATAGCTTGTCGGACCACCCAGGACCATGAATCGCGTGTTATTGCTAATTGCTGCGTGATTCGACCCAGAAATCGTTCCGACGCAAGTTGGTAGTGTTACCAAGGGCCATTGATCCAAAGCGGCCTACTAATTAAAAAAAGGGGCCACTGATTTGATTTGAAATAGCAGCTTCTCAAACCGCTCCGGGCAATGAACCGCGTGTTACTGCGGACTGTCGGCATCATGGGAGGAGCCTTCGTGGCAGTTTCCGTCACGTCATCGCTCTGTCTGAGGGCTGCGACTGCAGTGCTGGAAAAACGACGAGTGAGTTATCTGTTCATCCCCAGTGCCGCAGTGCTGGGGGGTGAGCCCGTCTGCCCATCCCCCTCTCGTTCTTCCCCCCCTCCTTCATTCTTATTCACTTCCTCCCTCTCCCCCATTCCCGCACCCCCCTTACTCTTCCGCCCATCCCCCTCCCACGTCGTCGCTGTGATTTAGGGCAGCGACTGCGGTGCTGGAGAAAAAGATGGCTGAATCCGCTTCTTCATCCCGTTTCCCCCGCCCCCCCACCCTTCCCCCTCCCCTCCCTCCTTTGCTTCTCCCTCCCATCCTTCCCTCCCTCCCATCCTTCCCTCCCTCCCATCCTTCCCTCCCTCCCATCCTTCCCTCCCTCCCATCCTTCCCTCCCTCCCATCCTTCCCTCCCTCCCATCCTTCCCTCCCTCCCATCCTTCCCTCCCTCCCATCCTTCCCTCCCTCCCATCTTTCCCTCCCTCCCATCCTTCCCTCCCTCCCATTCTTCCCTCCCTCCCATCCTTCCCTCCCTCCCATCCTTCCCTCCCTCCCATCCTTTCCTCCCTCCCATCCTTCCCTCCCTCCCATCCTTCCCTCCCTCCCATCCTTCCCTCCCTCCCGTCCTTCCCTCCCTCCCATCCTTCCCTCCCTCCCATCCTTCCCTCCCTCCCATCCTTCCCTCCCTCCCATCCTTCCCTCCCTCCCATCCTTCCCTCCCTCCCATCCTTCCCTCCCTCCCATCCTTCCCCTCCCTCCCATCCTTCCCTCCCTCCCATCCTTCCCTCCCTCCCATCCTTCCCTCCCTCCCATCCTTCCCTCCCTCCCATCCTTCCCTCCCTCCCATCCTTCCCTCCCTCCCATCCTTCCCTCCCTCCCATCCTTCCCTCCCTCCCATCCTTCCCTCCTCCCCCCTCCTCCCTCCCTCTCCTCCCTCCCCCCTTCCCTCCCTCCCTCCCTCCCTCCCTCCCTCCCTCCCTCCCTCCCTCCCTCCCTCCCTCCCTCCCTCCCTCCCTCCCTCCCTCCTCCCTCCCTCCCTCCCTCCCTCCCTCCCTCCCTCCCTCCCTCCCTCCCTCCCTCCCTCCCTCCCTCACTCCCTCCCTCCCTCCCTCCCTCCCTCCCTCCCTCCCTCCCTCCCTCCCTCCCTCCCTCCCTCCCTCCCTCCCTCCCTCTCCTCCCTCCCCCGTTCCCTCCTTCCCTCCCTCCCTCCCTCTCCTCCCTCCCCCCTTCCCTCCTTCCCTCCCTCGCTCCCTCCCTCCCTCCCTCCCTCCCTCCCTCCCTCCTCTCTCTCCCTCCCTCCCGCCCTCCCTCCCTCCCTCCCTCCCTCCCTCCCTCCCTCCCTCCCTCCCTCCCTCCCTCCCTCCCTCCCTCCCTCCCTCCTTCCCTCCCTCCCTCCCTCCCTCCCTCCCCTCCCCTCCCTCCCTCCCTCCCTCCCTCTGTCCGTCCCTCCCTTCCCCCCTCCCTTCCTCACTCCATTTCTCCTGCCCATCCGTCTACCTTCCCCGCTTGCGTTTTTCTCTCCCTCCCTCCTTTCTTCTGGTCTGCTGATTTTTGGAGAAGCATTTTCGCATCATTTTTTCCTCTCCCATCCCCCCTCCATATATCTTGTCTTTCACCCCACTTCCCTCTACGATCTGGGGCAAGACTGTTCCCCCATGCAGCGTGTACCCAGGAAGCAAGCTTACCCTTGTCATCTGTGTGCTTTCACATTTTTAAAGAATGCCTATTAACCCCATCTTTCACCGCAACCTCCCTTCCCCATCCAGGCCAAGACTGCCCCACCTTGCACCATGTGTCAAGGCAAGCGGTTCTACCATTGTCAGCTGCGGAGATTCTTAGGGAAACTATTCTATGCATATGCTTCTTCTTGCACGCCCCGCCTGCCATTATCCCCTATGTTTCGCCTCTACTTCCCTTCCCTCACAGGCCAAGACTGCCCCTCGTTGCACGGTGTGTCAAGGCAAGCGGTTCTACCCGTGTCAGTTGTGCCGATCCGCGGGGAAGATTCAGTGGAGCCCACTCGCTGACCCTGTGCTGCCTTGAAGGCTAAGACTGGCCCTCCTTGCACCATGTGCCAAGGCAACCGGTTTCGCCATTGCCTATTGACGCTAGAGCCGTCTCAGTAGTCCTCTATCTCCCATCATTCCATCGTTGATCTCCACTTCCTTCGCCCCACACAGGCCAAGACCGCCCCGCCTTGCACGGTGTGTCAAGGCAAGCGGTTCTACCCGTGTCAGTTGTGCCGATCAGCGGGGAAGATTCAGTGGAGCCCACTCGCTGACCCTGTGCTGCCTTGAAGGCTAAGACTGGCCCTCCTTGCACCATGTGCCAAGGCAACCGGTCTCGCCATTGTCTATTGACGTTCAAGGCGTCTCAGAAGTCCTCAATCTCCCGTCATCCCATCTTTGATCTCCACTTCCTTCGCCCCACACAGGCCAGGACTGCCCCTCGTTGCACGGTGTGTCAAGGCAAGCGGTTCTACCCGTGTCAGTTGTGCCGATCCGCGGGGAAGCAAATATACCCTATGGGCTTTTTTCAACACCACTTTCCTTCCCCACACAGGCCAAGACCGCCCCGCCTTGCACGGTGTGTCAAGGCAAGCGGTTCTACCCGTGTCAGTTGTGCCGATCAGCGGGGAAGTTTCAGTGGAGCCCACTCGCTGACCCTGTGCTGCCTTGAAGGCCAAGACTGGCCCTCCTTGCTCCATGTGCCAAGGCCGCCGCCTGCCATTAACCCGTATCTTTCGCCTCTACTTTCCTTCCCCCATCTAGGCCAAGACTGCCCCTCGTTGCACGGTGTGTCAAGGCAAGCGGTTCTACCCGTGTCAGTTGTGCTGATCCGCGGGGAAGATTCAGTGGAGCCCACTCGCTGACCCTGTGCTGCCTCGGCCATGCATATGCCCCACGTGCAAAGGCAACAAGTACGTAACATGCATACGCCAACTTTTTGAGAGGTTTTTGTGCTGTAGCCCATCGCCAACTTGTGCATTCTTTCCAGGCCTTTTTTGCCATTTGACATTTTCCCTTTTTCCCGTTTGTTCTGGATGCTTGTTGATTTATCCACGGGCGCTGTTGGTTACGCTTCGAATGGCAGGATCCAGAAGTGCTTGAATTGTGCTGGAAGGGGTTATGTATAGTATCTTCAGATGTGATCTTATTTTCCTTTGCCCCTAGAGGTTCAAGTTGCAACTTCATTCAAGATTGATTAGCAAGTACACTTCCCAGGATGTGGATGTCAGCTTTCTGAAAAATCTCTAATGCGTTACGAATCAGAATATAACGGATGCATTTGCAAGGGGACAGCATATTCGGACGATTCCGATTGGGAGCAATCGTGGCCGTTGAACTTCCTCAAACAGACTCTCGAGATTCATCCTGCTGTTATGCAGCAATACACAACAACAGCCAACAATCCACTAGTCTCTGTCCTGTGCCAGAGACTTCTCTAGAAAAGTCCACAGTTTAGACCCAGATTTACTCATTACTTCGTCGCTACGGAGACTCGGAAGAGTTCCTTCCTATTTTGCAATTAATCCCCTAAAAATGGCTGCCATTCCCTCCGTTCTAGTATCATCTGCTTCTCCCACGCGAGATTCCTTGGTCCTGCTTCTAATGAAAGGCCATCCAGGCAGCGGTAAAAGCACACTCGCTCGAAGCCTCGCGCGATCCCTACGCTGGCCGCTAGTCGACAAAGACGTATTCCGCGACGCGACGATGCTTCTAGAACGGCTGGACGGACCGTGTGCGACTCCCGTCAATGCACGTGTGCTGAACAGCCTATCATACGATGCCATGTGGCAGATGGCGGAGGTCCAGCTAGATCTAGGTCTATCCGTGGTCGTCGATTGCCCTCTAGCGCACGAGGCGCTTTTTAAATCCGGAGTGGCTTTAGGTACGCGCGTAGGAGCTAAGGTTGCTGTAATCGAGTGCCACGTGTCGGACTTGGACACGTGGAAACGAAGGATCGAGTCGCGTGCAGCGGCTGCTCTGTCTGACGGTCAACCGTCAGGAAACGTCGAAAACTGTGAGGAAAGCTGCCGGCCATGTGCTGGGGGCGAGGAAGGAATTAGCCCGTACCCAGGAGATCGTGCGATCAGATCTCGGAATTCCCAAGGAGCACGTGAGACGATTTCTGGGAGTTCCCAAGGTGCAGGCGAGATGGATTCTTCCATGAAAATACCTGGATGTGACAATGACGTGAGTGTGCGGGAAAGAGGAGGGGAGAGTGAGGGTGAGAGTAAGAGTGGGAGTGAGAGCGAGAGTAAGAGTGAGAGTGAGAGGCAGCAATCAGCAGGTAGCTTGAAGGGGCGATGGCACAGGCCGGCTTGCTGGGAGGACATCCAGGAACTGCTGGATAGGTACAATGGCTGCTGGACCTATCCCACAGGTTCGGTACCGAAACTGACAGTAGACACGGGGATTGTTGGCCCAGATGAAGCACTGGCGCTGGCTCTGGATTGGTTAGAGACTTGCTTGATGCTTAGGAGAAACTGAGTGTTGTCTGTTTATCTCACCTCTTGAACTTCACCTCTACGGTAATAGAAGCTGGTGCGAGTGAGTATGAGATTGAGAGTGGGGGGCAGGAGGCAGGGCTAAGCTTGAAGGGGAGATGGCACAACTCTGCGTGTTGGGAGGACATGCAGGAACTCTTGGGTAGGTACAATGGCTGCTGGACCTACCCCACAGGTTCGGTACCGAAGCTGATAATAGACACGGGGACAGTCGGCCCAGATGAAGCACTGGCTATGGCTTTGGGTTGGTTGGAATCTGCTGTGGTGATTAGGAAAGACTGAGGGCTACCACCGGTATTTGCTTCATCTTGTCCTTCCATGTAAAATGTGAAATTGAATCACGGTAGTGCAAGGCTGCAAGCTGATTGTGTTGTCAGGGCCAGGGTCCCAAGGCAAATGGCCCACCCAAGGCAATGTACAGTAGCCATTTGCAGGGAAGAAGCAATTTCGTGCCATAATGCTTGTCATGTATTTGCAGCATCGGTCGGATATCTCCATATGTGATACCCGGTATTTGCAATCCTTGCAGATTGCTTATCACACTTCTCACTTTGTCCAGATTCAATGAACCAGGTGTCACTCACAATGTTCTTTTCCGTGTGTGTCCACCTTCTGTAAACGAAGTGTTGCATTGCCATTTTTTCCGAACCGAGTGTCACATTGCCGTTTCTTGTCCACATTCGATGAACCGTAAGTGACATTGGCCATTCTGTCCAGATTCGTTGAACCACGGCAAAGGCCTGGTGAGGCACTCTATTCCCTTTCCAAAGGAAGTGGCCCGCTTCTGCTCTTCTCCCTCTCCTTCCGCCTCTCCCCTTTCTCCTTTTTGGCACCTCTCTCCGTCCTCCCCCCTGTTTCTCTGTCCCTCACCTCTCCTTTCTCCCTTGCCCCGGTATCACCTCGCTGACCTTTCCCTTCTCTCCCTTCTTTCCCCTCTCTCCTTTCTCTCCCCTCCCTCCCCTCTCTCCCTTCTCTCCCCTCTCTCCCTTCTTTGTCCGCCTCAGTCATCTCATCCCACCCATCTGCACCGCTCACTACTCTTTCAATCCCAGAACCTTCCTGTGAGTTTCTTCGAACAATCCGAACCTCGTCCGAACCTGACGAGCTTCGGGAGGCAGGTTGAGAGTGGGAGGAGGAGGTTCGGGCACGGGAGGAGGAGGAAGGGGGTCTTGCACTGCTGCCGCCGATGCTACCGCTGCTGCCAATGCTGCTGCTGCTGCTGATACCACCAATACCACTATCATTAGTACTGCTGCTATCTGTTGCTGCTGGGACGGATGAAGGGTCGTAAATGCTGCTGCTGCTGCTGGTGCTGCGTTTGGAAGGTGAGGAGAATATGGACGGGTTCTCTTTATCTGTGGTCAAAGGGGAGGGACAAGGGAGCAGGAACCGTATGTGAGATGCCTCAAAGCTCTGCTGCTGCTAATGCCGCTGCTGCGTTTAGAAGGTGCGGAGAATATGGACGGGTTCTCCTTATCTGTGGCAAAAGGGCGAGGGGGAATGCATTATAAGCTGCCCCACCACTCTGCTACTGCTGCTGCTGCTGCTGCAGGGGATCCACTTTTCTGAATCGCATTACACTTTCCTTGATGCTGATTTCCTAAGACGTACCCGAACGGATCGCCTGGAGAGTGTAGTTTTGAGACCTCTCAAAACTACACTTCTTTCACGTCTGCTGCAGGGGATCCATTTTTCTCAATCGCATTACACTTTCCTTGATCCACGGTTCCTTGATTTCCGAAGACGTACCCGAGTGGATCGCCTGGAAAGTGTGTGCCTCGTTCTCCATAATAAGCCGCATCAGTCAGTCAACATCTAAGTTGCGGAAGACGCGTCTAGCGTCTTAGACGCTGCGTCTAGGGCTGATTAGACGCTGCGTCTAGGGCTGATTAGACGCTGGGTTAGACGCAAGCCCGAGCAGGCAAAAAAAAGTACGGACAGCCAAAAAATCCTTCTGTGGGGCATGGGGAGGGGGAGGATATGGACGTAGCTAACATTTGAGGCAATTTCTTCTTAGGTCTTGATTTTTTCCCCCCATTTGTTTTTTCCGGCCTGCCCAAAAACTTTTCCCCCTTGCGTCTAGCGTCTACGGGTGCGTCCTGCGTCTAGCGTCTAGACGCTAGACGCAGGACGGTCCTGGCGTCTTCCGCAACTTAGGTCAACATGCACCTCAACAGTACCTTATGCAATACAGTAGCTGGCAGACTAGTGCAGTGCAGAGGTAGCGTGCTTCCTTAAGATGAAGTATCTAGGTGGATCACCTGGAGAGTGTGTGCCTCGTTCTCCATGCTCAGCTGCATCAGTCAGCATGCACCTCAACAGTACCCTATGTGATACAGTAACCATTTTTTAGAGTTACCTAATTGGATCGCCTGAAGAGTGTGTGCCACGTCCTCCATGCTCGGCCGCATCAGCGGGTCAAACTGAATGCACGACTCCGCCAGCTCAGCGCACCGAGCAAACGCTGACGTGGCGGCCACCCTGGGCAGCGCCACGTCAGCATCAGCACCAGTGCCGGTGCCAGATGGCACTGCTCCTTCTCCTCCTCCCCCTCCTCCCCCTCCTCCTCCCCCTCCTCCCCCTCCTCCTGCTCCTCCTGCTCCTCCTGCTCCTCCTCCCCCTTCTGGTGTGTGAGCAGCAAGCATGGCAGGATCGATCATCTCATCCCACCTCCTGTCTTTCAGGAATGGTGTGGCCTGAAATGTTTGTGGGGGAAAGGGGGGAACGGAGGGGGAGGGGGAGGGGGAGGGAGGGGAAGGGAGGGGAAAGACAGGGGGGAGGGAGGGGGAGCGAGGGGGAAGGGTGGCGGAGTAACGAGAGTGTGAGCAGCAAGCATGGAAGGATCAATAAATTCACCCCACGTCTTCTCTTTCAACAAGAATGGCGTGGCTTGAAAGAGTGTGTAGGAAGAGGGGGGGGTGGGGGGTGGGAAGGTGACTTTTGAGTCAACTCAAAGTCCTAGGATCGATCAGCTTATCCCACCTCTTCTCTTTCATGAATGGCGTGGCGTGGCCTGAAAAGTGTGTGGTGGAGGAGGAGGGAGGATGGGTACGGAGGGGAAGGGTAGGCGGAGAGGAAGCAGCAGTAAGAATGTTTTTTGTTCTCTCCCTTAACAATAAATCTGTCCCTTAGGTGATAGAACAGAACCCATCGAGTTTGTGCTCTCTCCCTTAAGGTGACAGGGAGCACAAACTCGATGAGGATGAAAGACTTTTGAGTCGACTCAAAAGTCACCTTAGCACAAACTCGATGAAAATGAAAGGGAGTGTGTGTGAGTTTTGAGACGTCTCAAAACAATGTTTATTGTCCTTCAGCTGATAGAACAGAACAGGTGACAGAGAGCACAAACTCGATGAGAATGAAAGGGAGTGTGTGTGTGCGACAAAGGAGGGGAAGTGAAGGAAGAACGCAAATCAGGTAGTGACTCAAGAGTAGAGTTGAGTGAGGAAAAAATGGTGACTGCGCTCCAAAGCACACGCATTTGATATCATAATCATTAGCATAACCACCACACAGCATCACCAACACACACCAACGTTCCTCACTCACCCAGTGTGTGAGCATCGTGCCATCCTCAAACACCGGCACTCTGCCACTCAGTAGTTCCAGCAACACCACTCCGAAGCTGAGATAGGGGCGGGGGGGTATGGCATAGCATGGCAAGAGGGGTGCGTGGGGCTATAACTCAAAAGGGCACCTCGTGGGGAGAATGAATGGCCAGTTTTCAAACACCGGCAGCACTTTGCCACTCAACAATTCCAGCAGCACCGCTCTGAAGCTGAGATAGGGAGGGGGCAGGAAGAGAGGGAGAGAGGGAGAGAGGGAGAGAGGGAGAGAGGGAGAGAGGGAGAGAGGGAGAGAGGGAGTGGCATCATGGCATGGCAAACGCGTTCAAACACGGGCGCTCTGCCACTCAACAATTCCAGCAGCACCACTCTGAAGCTGAGATGGGGCACGGGAGAAAGGGAGCAAGGAAGTAGGGTACGGCATTTTAAAGGTTGTGGGGAGATGGGGGTGATGAAGACGAGGCAATGGGCTGGCAGCAACTCTCATTGCTACATCCACGTTCTCGAACTCTCTCCGGTCATAGGTATTTCAGAAGTTATGTGCCTGTGGGCCTGTGTGTGCCCATCAGTGCCCATGCATTCCCATGCATGCCCATAGCCAATGGAATTACCTGTATCGGCACCAGACACGTTCTGTTTACATACCTGTACACATCAGGTCATCAGGATCTCAGGAGCCATATGCCCGTGCATGCCCATCAGTGCCTGTGTGTGTCTCTATGGTTATGTGTGTCTCTGGCTATGTGTGTCTCTATGGCCAATGGATGAAACTACCTGCATCTACCCTGAGTGCATGCACGTACCCGTACACATCAGGTCATCAGGATCTCAGGAGCCATATGCCCGTGCATGCCCATCAGTGCCTGTGTGTGTCTCTATGGCTGTGTGTGTCTCTATGGCCAACGAATGAAACTAACTAACTGCATCTACCCTGAGCCTGAGCGCATGCACCTACCTGTACACATCGGTGGCAGCGCTAATCTCCCCAGTCATGAGTATCTCAGAGGCCACGTGGCCGTGTGTGCCCCTGAATGCCCATACCCACAGCATACCCCCCCATCCCATACCTGTAAACGTCAGTAGCAGCGCTGATCTCGCCAATCATGAGTATCTCAGGGGCCACGTGGCCGTGCGTGCCCATTGCCACATCCACGTTCTCCCCCATATCTCCCCCATCTCTCCACCATCTCCCTTTCGTGGTTGTCTTGTCCCCTTTAGAAGAAGACTCAGTTCTACCTACCTGGATACATCAGTAGCGGCGCTAATCTACCCGTCATCAGAATCTCAGGAGCCATGTGCCCGTGCGTGCCCATTGCCAATGAAACTACCTGTATTTACTTAAAGTCCATACCTGTACACATCAGTGGCAGCGCTGATCTCCCCAGTCAGGAGGATCTCAGGAGCCATGTGCCCGTGCGTGCCCATTGCCAATAGACTAGAAGTACCCGAATCATCTGTACCATACACTCACTGGGAGCGTACCTGTAA